CATGTTAAACCTTAGGTTTTAGATGATTTGTACTGAGCAGTGGATTTAACCGTTTGGTCGGAGTCTTTCTTAATTCAACACCGACAGGAGAAATCTACACTTGCAGTATCTTGTGGTATAAAAACCAGATACTGTCTGACTGAAATGGTCTGAACTCTGGAATACAATGACTTAAGTCTTCATCTCGTCAACACAGGACGTTACATTAGCAGGAGGTAAAAACTGCACATTGAGCACTGTTTTCCAAAGACATTCCAGCTTCCAGGGCGTGTTGTGAAGAGAAAAACAAATGAGTCAAAAAAAAACATTATCCACATCAAAAGTAAGTGGCGGTTAACGTTAACGTGATGGTCTTACCCTTTGGGATCGAGCAGATCCCGGACCTTCTCGTTGTAGATCTCCATGTATGAAACCTCCACAGTGAAGCTCTCCTGCTCCCTCTGCTCTTTCTGGGTTCTTTCAAACAAAGCACTGCACAGGCGAGGTATGAGACCGGGCTGGTCTCCTGATCCCATCATTGTGTACGATTTTCCCGACCCTAAAAAACACAGTCATGAATAATTAAATGGATAAAAGTATCATAGGTTTATGTATTTTCTTTTTCAGCAACAACTTTGAGGCAAACACATGTTAAACCTTAGGTTTTAGATTATTTGTACTGAGCAGTGGATTTAACCGTTTGGTCGGAGTCTTTCTTAATTCAACACCGACAGGAGAAATCTACACTTGCAGTATCTTGAAAAGGTGTGTTCAATTGTTTTGAGTGAAGTCTACGTATGTTGAATTTTAGAGATATTACTCAGGCTTCCTGCCACAACAGATCCACATGGACACTCCTCTTAATCACTATAATAAACATGTCAGGGCATTTGTTTTCCGCAGCTGTGTCCGGCTGCTACATTTACACACCGACAGAATGAAAACATCTGTTATTACAAGGACTTATAATGAGTCATGAAAGAAGCCACCAGTGATGCATCAAAGAGCTGGATCAAGTGCATTTACCAGTTTGTCCATAGGCAAAGATGCAGGCATTATAGCCCTGGAAGGCGTTGTAGAGAAGACTTTCCCCCAGGGACTGGAACACCACCTCCTGACCTGGAGACACACACAGACACAAACATGACTATTATATTTATATAACTGTGTTCATTCCTAATTTTAGAGATGATATTTATAACATCAGAAGTCCGTGACATTTTACTGACAGCATGAATACTTTTCAGAATCTTTGCTGACAGACTTACCTGCAAATTTCTCTTTATCTGCCTCATCCATGGACCAAAAGCAGTAATCGTAGGCAAAGACCTGGAATACAAGTATAATCATCAATAAAGAGTGGAAACTTTTAAGACTAGTCATAAGATGTGATCCTACAATTCTTGCTCTAATATTTGTACTGTGAACTAAAATATGATGTTATACAAAAAAAGGAGCAAATAACAGTTTTTGTAAGATGTCCGGGAATATATTTTTGCATTGATAATTACTGATGATTCATTAAACGAGTCTGTTTACATTCGTGTGTGTGTGTTTGTTACCTTGGACTGACTCCTGATGATGTTGGGAGGTTCAAGGTCCACAGCAGCATGTGAAAGAGAGATAAATGACATTCAGTGTACATGTGGAAGAAGATGTTTACTGGTCCCTCAGAGTAGAAACACTGCGAGTCTATGTGTACTGTTTTGTCCTGAATGTGTTTCCTCTCCACTCAGGACGGGTAGAAAATGAGTTTAGACAGTTTTGACACACACTCCAGGAGGATATCAGGAAAGACAAGTGTATTTAAAGACTCAAAGAGGGACCAAAATACAGACTACATACAGAACTTTGTGAATTGTTGTGGAAATATTTGTCAGGGTTGATAAATGGGCAGTGAAGGGGGGGAGGGGTGTAGGAGTTGACAGAGCCCGAAGACAGTGTGTGAATCCCATGGTGCTGCAGAAGAGGTTACTGGGTCAGGGTCAGACACAGAGATGAGCAGACGGAAAGTAAAATGCCTTCGAATGTTTAGGCACATATCTGACATTCAAACAGAGGGTGGGTTGCCCACAGTATCAGCGTGATATTTCACGGCGGGGTGGGGGTGAGGGTGGGGAGTGCCAAATAGTGCAGTCAAGCAAGCTACATGCACCAACCCATACACAAACATGACCATATAATGACCATGGAGACAATAGCCATGCCATTAAGAACTGACTTTCACTGATTTCCACACAGATTGTCTCTCTTAGGAAATCAATGCACACATATGTCCTAACTTTATTTTTCATTTCAGAAAATGCTATTTGGAAAGAAAAAGAAAAGAATATTCATATTTCATTTATGCAAGCATTACGTTCAACTAATTCTGCCAAATCCTTTTCAGGTGATGGGGTTACCTGGAGCCCATCCCAGAAGTCAAAGCTGGGTAAACCCCAGATAGTTTGCCACAGCATCGCACGGGCAAATAATCGTTCACACACACACCGACGATCAATTAGGAGAATATTTAAGCAAGGGGAAACATGCAAACACCATGAAAATCTTTGCACTCCATTTAAATGTGTGTCTGAAGTACCTCAACGATACACATGGAGTCATTTATTTTCCCGACTAAAACAACAATTGTGTGACCTAAAAAATTCAGAAAATGGGGTAAAAGTTTTAAACATTTTCTCTCAAACCTCAAAATGCCCACAAAAAAGTAATTTGGTTTACAAAAAAAAAAAAAAAAGAATTAAAAAAACATGTTTCTATGTTAAAATGAATACAAGTTTAACAACATTTTGGAGCTCCTCTTATTTATGACTGTGCTTTAAGTAAGAATGTTAAATATTTTAAAGTGTGGTTCTATGCAGCTCCGAGTTCAAAATGACACAGCTCATGTTCCACACAAAGACATGCCAATGCCGACTCCCTAACCACAATTCAAATCCCACCTTTGACCAGAACTTCAGGACTCATATTCTGAAGTTCCGTAACTTTAGGGTCAGGCCTCAGGCACATGGTCAGAATTTATAATCGAAAAGGCGCGGAGAACCAGTGTAGATACCCACCCACACATCCACACCTGTTTTCTTCCACTCATGCACATTCTTTATAAACCACCAAACCACCATCCTCCAGCGCAATCGGTAACACCTCATATTTCACTGACGTTCCACTGCTGACATGCTGCGCCCAGCACAGCAGATCCAGGCAGAGGAACATGCCTTATCTGCTGCCTAATTGATTCCAGTAGCATTTGAAGAAGGATGCACTTTGAAACCTCCTCTTCACAGCTTTGGTGTCAGCAATGATTTCCAACCTAAAAGACTTCCAGCAGTCACTAAAGGCCTTCCAAAACAAACTCATGAAAACATTCAAATTTACTCTTTGATTTACTGACGTGAACCTATAAATTCCAAGTGACTTTCTTCCTCTCTTCAGTCGGACACTTTTTAAGAATTCGGAGAACAGTGAGGCCCTATTTTCAGCCAAAAGACAAAAATAAGAAGCATAATCTGTTATGACATATGAAGTGATGACAGCTGTCATGGAGGCTTTGAAGGCCGGAGGCAAAAAGGATCATCCATGTCCTGCACAAAATCCCTCTACTCCTAGAGCTGCTCTAAGTTCAGTAACAGGGAGAGTGAGGCAACGAGGAGAGCCAAATCTGCCTCCTACTGCTCTTCATCTTCATCACTGTCATTTTAAAAAACAAAACTCGAGCACGGTTGCCCCTCCTTCTCTGTCTCGTTCATGTTCTTTCCCCTTCTCTCTTGTTCAGGTTGTAACATTCACAGCCTTGTAGGCAGGACTGGTAGATGAATAGGAAACCAAAGTCAGCCCGGAGGTTAGGGAGGAAAGAGGCCGGGCCTAAGACTGGAATGTTAAACTGAAACACACTGATGGAACAGAACAACAAGACGTGTGCTGTCAAAGCCTAACGTTTAAATTCAGCACGTGGTGACTCCCATCAACTACAGGACAATAGGTCTTCACATGGTGCTGCTGTGTAGATGGTTAATGCATATGATACAGACATAAACTGTACGCTATGGCCAACAGTGAAGCTCATTCAGAGGGAACGTTACAACCATGACGAGCAGAAACAGTGGTTCACTTTATAGTTACAACTATGACGAGCAGAAACAGTGGTTCACTTTATTTCAAGTGTTTTCACTGTAAACATATTCTCTTTGGTAGACTTGAAGTACAACTGCAGTTGTTTTCAGTAACAAAAAAAGCACGAGCGTTGAAATCTTGGTTAATTTTTAACCCTGTCATTACATTAGAAACTCCCACCGTCAGGTGCTCAGTTCGGACTGCACTGTTTGAACAACACACACAACCTTTGATATCACCAGAACGCTTAATCCTCCATTTTTTTCCCAGCACAATTACGTCACACGTCCGTCCATACACGCAGAGTGTGATACACACACACACACACAAAGTAAAAACACGGTTCTTAGGTATGGGGCCTCACACTCTCTTTTGTCTATCGTCTTGGAAACCGTGGCACATGTGTCTGTCTCTGGGTGCAGCGTGACGGGAGCTGCGAACTTGTCAACATTCAGCATCAAAAGCCCAATGCAAATAGCTTCAGGTCATAATGCAAACTGTAGTCTCTGGCCGCACAGTGGCTGGCGGGTCAGCTGTCTGCTTATCAAACAGACGAGCACACACTGCCCTCAAGCTGGAGGTTAAAAACTTCCCTGGAGGTTTGAAAATGAACCAGGGAGAGAAGAAGTAAAAATAGAAACATATTATTACAGTAATGTAACATAATGTAATGTAATATAATGATTCCCATTGAAACAAGGAAACAAAAAGTACATCAACACTGACCATAAGAGGTAGAAATAGATTTGTTGCATTTTGAGAAATAATGTTTGCTTAATGTTGGTATAGGAGCAACTGAGTGAGAGCCATAATATTAACGTTAGTGCTTCAGTGAGTCACTGAGGGTGGCAGCAGCACCAGCTTTAATCTGCTCTGCCCAGTGTGTCTGTGCTTGTAGCTGGAAAAACTGAATAAGGCTCACCAGCAGAGGAAATGATCCACGGTAAAAAAACAAAAACAAACAACCAACGACAAAAATAGTTGCTGGATGTTTTGTCAGGACAAAAAGCTCATGCTTTACTTGTCCTCAGTCCTGATTGGTATTGACACTACGGAAAGGGCAACAAGTGGGTGGTAATGGCTAAAATGTGTTGGTTCTGCTTTACGTTAGAGGTAATGTTGTCATAAGACAACTCTTTCACAAACAGTGTCACTCAGAGTGTCATATTTATTTGACTTTACTGTGTATCCCTTCATCGTAGTCAGTCAGCTGGATATTAAAGAGTATTTTCACCGTTGATACTTCAACTGAAGAAATGAGTAATGGACAAAGAACTTCCTGGTATCTTATTTTCTTAAGCAACCAAATCACCCTTACCGTGTACTCTCGTTATTCACAGACTCCTTTGTCAACACATCACGATTCGTTTCAATTACACTGATAAGACCAAAGATTTCTATGCTGTTCATAGACCGCAACAGTTTATTGTCGAATCGATTATGGACGTTTTTAAAATGTTCTATAATTATTTAAACGACAACTGCAATGTCAACTGTCCCCACCCATAATCTCAACGACTAACCACTAAGTTAAACACTCAGTAAAAAAAGGTAATCCTCCAGAGTGTGCACTGTGTAAAAGTAAACAAAAAGAGAATGACATCTGCATGAGGAGGGTGCCAGTCATCGGACCCATCCTCCGGCTGCTTCCTCTCTTCTTTGTGGAGAGAGACTCAGACTGAGAAACCACAGCTCTGCTCTTGTTCTGTCCTACATAAAAGTCAGAGGCAGAAGTTTATGGTCGACAGATGCTTGAATAAATGAGCTCTTCCCCCCCAATTTCTATCGTTCCTTCACTCAAGGAAAGGGGTTTCATAGTCACCGTCAGCGACCCCAAGTTAACCTCCCTGCGAGTTGCCAGGGAAACCGAGGAGCTGAAATAAAAGGGGAGGAAGCCAGGCAGCGGGGAGCTGCAGCCGAACGCACAGAAGGAAGACAGGAGTCTGCCTTTTAATGTATGTCTGTGACTCTCAGGGCTGCATCTTTACTTCTGTCCTCCTTCCAGACACAAACACACACACAGACGCAGACAGAAACAGACCAGTGACTGCTGCTCCTAGACATTAGCCCGAAGGCAACATTATTCACTTTTCCTCTATACTCTATACTTGTCCTCTATACCAGACACTGTGTCCTACCTCACAGCAACACTGTGACTGACTGACTGACTGACTGACTGACTGCCTGCCCTCATTATCAGAGGTCTGAGAATGTTGATCGTGTGATTGATTTCACCTTGTTATTGCGGTGTTATATTTGTAGCTGTGCGGCAAATGGAATAGTGCTGGAACCAAGATCAGAGCAAACACTCGCTCACACACATTCCTGTTGTGCTTGACGGAACTATAATTAAAGCAAGCTACCTAATTTTCCTTTCAGTGAAAAGATAGAAAGACTTAGGCGCTAGCCAAAATAGAACAGTTGATGAACAGCAAGGAAACCAACAGGAAAGAAAAAAAAAACAACAACAGTGAGGAATGATTTGTCTTGGACTACACCTGTCTGTAAGAGGCCCCACAGCTGGTTTGTCAACTTCCTGCCAAACATTATGTCATAATGATTCAGGAATGTCACAAAAAAACAGAAACATGGGAGCAGCAGAGAGGAAAGAACAACCTCTCATACACTGTAGATTTAGTGTAGATAAGACATGTCCAAAGTCCGGCCCAGGGGCCAATTGGAGTCCGTGGTTAAATTTTTTTACACTCTACATCCTCTGTCATGAAATCCATCACTTGTGGCTCCCGAGCAGTATAAATACAAATAAATTCTCAGAGAGGGAATTTTTACTTTCAGATATGAACATAGAATCTAGATATGGCTAAACCACAAAATCAGCCAAAATAGTTGGCCCTCACGGATGTTCACTTCATCAAATATGGTCTTCTTGGAAGAAAAAAAAAAGTTTGCACTTTGCACTTTGCCCTTTTTTGTAGAGGCTGTTGACAAAAGGGCCAGAAAGTAGTGCAAAAGGAAATGTGGGAGATGAAACCAGAACAACTGCTCAACCATTAATCCAGCCTGTCATCATGAAAGTCCAGACATAATCTCACGATGGCCTGGTGCACACCAGAGGAATGTCAAACCTTGACAGATTTTAGACTTACAGATGTGAGCCATAACCAGGGACAGATGTATGCTGTTTCTAATGTTTTAATTGTGGGAAAACAGAGACCAGACGACCCCACACAGTGGGCTACAGAAGTGAGTCTCAAGATTGGAAGTTTAAGAGGAATAAAAAACCAAAGGCAGAAAAAAAAGGGAATTTATATCAATTCAAGAAATTCTAAAAATATTTCTCTTTGATGTGTGTTCAATAATTCAAAGAGGCATGTGATTTCTTCTAGCGGAAAAATAATAATAAATGCTTTTATTTACATATTCTAACCCTGAGGGTTCATGTCACTAACAGCACTTCCTGTTTACCTCTTAGACCCTTCTTCCATTTCTCACCTCCTCCTTCAACGGTCTGTATTTGTGTACAGAAATAAAACCACAAACCTAACATAAGACTAGGTCAGAACACACAGTATATATACACACACACACACACACACCTCGAGTCTCCTTTTCCAAGGTTTGTTCCTGCAGGGTTGAGGATCGTCTGGTTCTTCACCATCTCCACGACACATTTTGTGTTGAGTTCCTTTTCTGTGGGTGAAACAAAACACAGTTTTACAATCTTGTTACAAAACCTCAAAACCAAATGTGGCTGATGTTGGTTTTAAAATGAAAGCTGCGCAGTTTCTATTAGTTCACTGCTGAGCCTTCCTGTGCACTAAATTGATTCTGTCACAGGTGTAAAACCCAAAAGTCATGTTTTGGTGCCTCCATCTATGTTGACATCATGGTTCAGAAATGTAGAAAGACATATGTTTTTTTTTTATCATTAACAAATGACAAAACGGTAAATACTGAGGATCTCAAGCAATTAGTTGTTTTTTTATCAAACCTCAAGAGCATCATGCCTCATCTATTCTGATTCTGTTGTTTGCTTCTGTGCTTCTCATAAACTGGGGTGAGGTGTCACTGCTTTGGGGCTTGTTTTTTTTACTTCTGGTACAGTTCAAACCCACAGTCTAATGAGGCTGTTAATAGTGAGTATTAACAGCCGGAGAGCTGATTCTGCCTTAATGACGACACGTTTTTTTTCTCACCCCATTTTATTGCCCTTCTCCATCACTACTGTAGTTTACTGACAAACCGCAGTGTTCGCAGACAGCAGAACTTGGCGGAGATCGTCTGTGCTAAACACTGACTAATGTAAACTTGCTGGAAGTGAAATGACTCCAAATTTAAGTTGGAATTTTCTTCCAGCATTTGCAAAAAGGGGGCCACATGTGTACTGAGAGTATGTTTGGTACAAGTGTATCATTACAGCCCTTCAACACAGGCTGAAAAATGTATTTTTTTCCCTAAAGAGGATCAAGTTTAAATAACTGTTCAAACACACACACACGCACATACACACACAACGTGCACTCAACTAAGAAATTCCGATCTTGACCTTTGGCCTGTGTCATGATGCAACACATTGTCTTCAGTTTCAGGCCCAGTGATCCTGCTGTTTGCCAACACGTGTAAAAATATGAATTGACTGAAAGTTCGCTACATATCTGAAGTTTTGTTTCATAATAGAAAAAAAAATCTGCTTATTTTATTTTTTTAAAGAAGTACACAGTAACTGAAAATGTTCACTGTGTGCATCATGTTTGTTTCTGCAGGGAAACTTTTAATAGAAGTTCCAGTGTTAAACTAACCAGCAGAATGACTGGAAAATATTAACCTGAACCACACTGTAAATCCATGCGCCTTTCTGAGACTCTTCGTTCATCCTTTTTTGCCAGTCAGACCAAAGTGTGGTTCTCAACACAGAAAGAAAGGCCGTCAGCATCCAGCATCCAGCATCCACAATCTGGCAGAAGTGGTTATTATTATTATTATGAATATTATTATTAACGTCAATATATCTGCTACAAACTATCATTATTTCACTCCAGAATGCTGAGTCTACAGTCATATATAACTGGACTACTGGAATGTGGTAAGGTTAAAAGATCTGTTGATTTAAGACAAAAATCTTTCTCTACTATGGAGTAAATAACAAAACAAAACAAAAAAACACAACTAAACATTTACATGGTGGTTTTTCTTCAGACTGTTGTGTGTCGTAGGCATAACATCATCCAACCTAAACCCAGTGCCAACTCATTGGCTAATAACTTGCTGATAAGATAAAAAGGAAGTTGTGGATCAGATCTGCCCCTGTGTTGCTCCTGGTGAGGATATCCTCCTCCACTGTGACCCTTTCTCCAGGGAGGTCAGAGGTTGGCACAAAAAAATCCAGCACCCCTTTAACTGCAGATTAGTGTTCAAGGACACACCAGCAGTTAGGAAACATGACTGATAATAAACCCTTCTCCTTCAGCTGCATATATGACCAGGTTCAGGGCTTGAATGTCATTAAGCGTCAGGTGACCTTTACACGCTTTGCCTTTTTTGAGTCTCTATGTTTGTTTAGATCCAGATAATCATCGGTGCTGTAAAGGTCCTAGGGTGTGTAGACGCACACAAGTCCCTGTGCTTTTAGCACTTGAATGGAGATTTTTATTAGTGGACCAAAGAAATGTAGACAAATAATACCCAAGTATATTTATGATGATCAGTAATGGGATATTCATCAAATAGAGTATCCAGATACTTCTCAAGGAATAAAAAAAGAACATTCTGGATAAGTGGTACACTGATTTAAAAAAAAACAAAAACAATCTAAACTTACTCCATTTGACGAACAAGGAGAAACTGCTTGAAATTTGTGGGTTTAACTGCAGTTCTAAACTTATATCCAGGTACTAAATACACAAAAAGGTAACGAACCTACTAGGCCAACAACAAAAGGCAACAAGCTGTCAAATCAATTAAAGCGAGGGCTCTGGTTTTTACTGTATATTTTTGAAACCTCAATAGTGCTGTTTCTGGCAGGAAGAACCGTCCCAGGGCCAAGGTCAAAGGTCAGAGAACAGAAATTCCTATTCAATAGGGAGAGTCATTGCAAAGAAAGCAAACCACCTGTGGCTGAGCAAGACTGAAAGGAAGAAAAATAATATTAAGTTTTTTAATGTGTGGCAATGAGAGGAAACTGGGAGGTTTCAGCTGCCTACATTACCCACATGCCAACAGTTGTGCGTCCTGCTCAGCAGTGAGGAAAGTGTGATGCAGCGCACTGACAGGATAAATGTGCCCATTGTTATCTGCCTCTCCCTGCTCCAACACCAGTTCCCCACTTTCCACTGACTCTCTCTCTGGCCCTTCCCTGAGTTACCGGCGCTAAGGTTTTAGCACAACTGCCCTGACATCAGACGAATGGGCCACTTAGCTGCCGTTGCTACGCCGGAGGTCATTCTGGTCTTGAAGCCCACAACCATGGGAACACGGAGCATTACGCAATGTTAGCAAATATTCATTCAGACTGACTCCCTTCCTGCCTTTGTCCAGCCTAGCAGCTACACCGCAACTTTTCCTTAACCTTGGACACAGGCTAGTTGCCTTGAGGTTCAATAAACCTGCTCTGAACTACTGTTCTTCAAAGAAAGGTAAAGAAAGTAACTGAGGACTACTCACGCCTGCTCAGGTGAGGCTATTGTGACCTTCCTGTGTGTCACTACATCTACTTGAATTGACACGCCACGTCAAGTCTTATACTAACACACACACGTGGATGTGGACAGAGAAATGATTCAGACTGGAAACCAGAGGAAAAAGAAAAATCACAGAAGGCACCACTGGAAACGTGGCACTGCTAGTTCCAAACCCACTCCCACTGCCTCCAGGAAGCCAATAATTTATCTGCGTGTTCCCTCTCGCCAAGGTCATAACCGCTCTGTTTAACATGATGCATACAAGCATTACAGTTTACACTGGTGACAAATGGTGATGTTTGATAACTTTGGTAACAGTCACGTCGGATATACTGGTACTGCTGTTAAGTGTACACGAACATCACCTCCAAAATTAACATGACCTCAGACCACAAAGACAATTCAATAATAAAGTTCTATTCTATCATTCCAACATACGGTGTTAAAACAACAATGGGAACTAGTTGATGAGCGGAGCGTACGAATATGTGCTACATGCGGAACATGTTTCTCTTGTTTGTGTTGTTTTTTTGGGGAAACTCTAGATTGTGATGTTACCACTGTGTCAGCATAGGTGAGCGACATGGCTAATTTTATACAGTATGTGAGTCCTGATGGCGAACACATCCTGTATCCTATTTTTATCATGTTCAACATTCATTCTATTTCATTAAAATGCTGTGTCAGCGTAGGTGAGCGACATGGCTACTTTTATACAGTATGTGAGTTCTGATGGCGAACACCTCCTGTATCCTATTTTTATCATATTCAACATTCATTCTATTTCATTAAAACTGTTTGGACCAATGGGGTTGTTGCAACACTTATTTCACTGCCGTCATACCTCTCTGCTGCAAGTGACAAATAAATAAATCTTAAAGCGCTGAAGTACTGATTATACTCCCACTACAAGTCTAAAGAGTGAATTCTATTGCAGTTGAGGAGGGTGGGGGGGTCAGCTGTTTATACACTGACTGGATACATACTCCTTGGGAGGGGGTGCCTTTCTTTCTGCCATTGTGTGAGAAAACCAGCTTCCCACAGCCACTTCACAAATCAGTGACACATCATGCAAATAATGTACTTGATATCAGTTCATAAACACAGATTGCACAACATGAGGTAGAAATTATTCAGGTCATGTTTTACTGCCTGACATTTGGCAGCAACTACACCTTTCTAGCTTCAATAGAATGAAATGGAAATTTAAAAGGGAAAGATCTCATGGCTGGTAAGTGATCAGAGACAAAAATACACAGAAGGCTATTTACAGTCATCCCAAAGTCTATTAATATAAACAGACCTGAGCTGTAGTGGAATTCATCTACTGTTTATCTCTGTTGTTGTTTTAAACTCCTGACAACTGACACACGTTTGAGGTTCACAGATGCACATGAGATTTTTGTGTTCAAAACAAAGGTTAAGCCTCGCAGAGAGCCGCTACTGAGTAACGTCATCATGACTGTGGAGTTTTCAACTGTGTGGTTATGGCTGAATTCCTTTCTACGGGAACAGAATAGTCATCTCCCGTCTTGGTCTTGTGATGGACTTTTCCAGCATTACAAGGGGAGAGAGTGAGAGAAGAGAGAGGGAGAGAGAGAAGGGGGGGAGAAGGATGGAGAGTCGGAATCAGAAAGGAAAAAAGAAAGAAAGAAAGGAAGGAAGAAAGAAAGAGCAAGAGGAAAAGAAAGAGAGAGAAACAGAACACGTGATCAATTCTGTCATTTGTCGGTCAAACTTGGCTGCCCTCCTCCAACTCCTCCTTTCATTGGATTCATGCTCTCCCACAGCAAAAAAAAAAACCTAACAAATCACACAGGAAATGTCATCACAGACTTTGTGTGAGAGACTGACGATTCAGGATTGAACTACATTTGAGGATGTCTTTGCAGATTTGTCTATTCAGGTGGTTTCCTCTGTGCTGGAGAAGAGGAAACAAGATATCCCTCTGTGCTGGAGAAGAGGAAACAAGATTTTTAATTAAGCTAAATAATGTAAATGCTGAGAAAAGACCAAAAAAGGAATTAGAGCCCAGATGGTTTTTTTTTTTAGAAAATACACAGTAATACCTTTCAATCTTGCCGAATGGCCACAGCATTAAGTGAAGTGTAACACCAACACTGTGTCATGTGCCAGCGAGACAGCAAGCTATTTAACCTGGAGCAGCTCAGCCAATAGCTGATAACTTCTTAGTGACACCCAGAAACTGTCTTCACACAAATAAACCATTAGTAAAAAAATAAACAGATAAACTGTGACCGTGGTTATTGAAAATCTTTTCAATGCTGCGTTCACACCAAGTGCGATAGATGTCTCATGTCTTCTTTCTCTGATTGGCTAGACCTAAACGGCCAATCAATCTAGACAGATGGTGACACAAAATCAACAAGCTGAACTGGCTGTAAGGCTGACAAGGGCCTTTGCTGCCAGACACACCTCCCTGGCAAGAAGGCAATGGATGATGCCCGATGGGCGGTGGCCAAGTTTATTGGACCTATGTGAACAAAAGTATGAAGAAGACACAAAGGTTTATCCATCCATCCATCCATCCATCATCTGGTCAAACCTCTCAAGAGTCAATTCCAGCAGTATTTAACCAAGAAAGGGTAAAGGTAAAATAGTCCACCTGTTTGTTGGGCCATATATAACAACAAACATCATTCACACTCACATTCACACTAACGGTGTGGTCACTTTAGAACGCGAAAATAAGTGAATTCCACAGAGAAAAGTTGTCTGCCCCATTTAGGAAACAAATAAATAAATACTACAAATACTGTAGCACCACAATGTAAGTTAAAAATACATTAAATAAATTGAATATCTAGAAGGCGAAGTCATTTTAAAACATTTTTGCACAATGCACAATATTTTTTATGTGTGTGTATAATACAATGTCCATTCATTTTAATTAAATGAAGTAAATGTAGGATGTGTGTTTATTCATATGTATAAAGGTGCACACATACTGGAACCAAAGCCTCACCTCTCCTGTTCATGGGCCGGACTCGAACTGCCACCTTGACATTGGCGTCGTCCAGATTGGGCTCCCCCATGCTGACTGCTCACCAGAGGATGATCCAAAACAAATCAGCCTCTGTGCTAAAAAGTCATCCAAAAACCCTGGAGATATTGCGCTAGCCAGACTGATCCAGCCAGCTAGCTCAGCTCAGCTTTTCTCCATACAGAAGGCATGTCCACGAAAAAAAAAAAAAAAAAAAAGCTCGTGCTGTATCCTGCAGGAAGCCAACAGGCACCGCCACTTTATCTCCTTCTCCTGCTCATTTTTTTTCAGGCTGATTCAGATCTGCAGAAGCTGGAGCAGAAAAGAAAGACAATGTAGAATATGTGTATAAGCAGCTGGTGGATATACGCATTCAGACATATGCTATCTGAAAGGCATTAAAATGAAGACGAGCTAGGCAGCTAATTTGTCAGGCAAAGTGAAGGGGAGCAGCGGTAGGGAAGAGGCAGGGTTTCAGCTACATTCTTTCAATTTGTACTCAATAACATTAGAGGACAGCGTTCGCTTTTGAACTACGTACCTCGGTGTTGTCATTCCAGATGTGACACCGTTAACCTGTGCTTATAACGGGTCGAGGTCTACAGAGAACCGCCGGGCGAGGATGAACAGCTCCCAAACGGAATCCACTATGTCTCCCTCCCTGTGTTTAGTGCTAGCAGCGAGCCGCGTCTGTATTTCCGCTTAGCTGCCTGTTCTTCAAAATAAAAGCAAGCCAGACAAAATTTACAGTCTAAAACTCTACAAAGATTATGTTCATTTACCAATATATTATAATTAGAAAAAATGTATATTCTTACTTGAGTTAAGCTTAGATATTTTGCCAAGAATGTTTTCATTTTAAATTAAAATCGATGGTTTCGCTTTATTTTGATAACTGTGTCAATCCTTTGTTTTCTATAATTTAATTTAGATACATTTCTAAAGAATACATGTTAAATAAAAGTTTTTGACCAACTCAGAAAAATGGACAACCCTGTTTTGCACTCTTATATCAGTAAAATATTTTATACTATAACTTAACTTGGTAATATTATGTTATAAAGCTAATTTCAGCAGTATTATTACATGATTTGTTTGCACTGTTACTGTGTGTAGGGCTATAGTTAAAATATAGCAATAACCATGCAAAGATGAATTCATCAAAAGTTAGAAAACCAAATTGTTTATACATTCATTTGTTCTTTCCTTCTGACACAAGCTGACAACGACATAGTGCAGCCCAGGTGAAATTAGATACTACTGCTAGGCTTTGTTTTGTGTGCATTAACTGTATGTTTAGGTGTAATGGCGGACAACAGCAATAACCAGAGCAAGAGCTCCATTTTCCAGAAATGGATGTTCTGACATTACTCTGAATTTGCCTCAGTGAAAGGCTACAAATAACATTAGCAGCAAAAGGCTTTTAACCACCCAAAAAATCATTATCAACACCAATGACGATAGAGGAAAAACATTGATGGTTTCAGTCACTGTGAGTCCTGAACTAAAAACAAGAGCATGGCTATTGACAACAGAGATTGGACTACATGTTGTTGAATTGACCCACTTCCTAAAATTGTTTTATAGAAAATAATTCTCATTTTTAGTTGTCTTTATAGACCATTACAGTAATAAAAAAAGGAAATTGGGAACAAAGTAACAAAAAGATATTATGTTTAATTGTTAGATTAGTATTTATTGAGGGGAAACTTGGACTAATCACAGGTCAGCAATCTATTGGTCATTGTATTATACATGCTATGAATACCCCAGAAAAATTATTGTCATTTTTAGAATATGTGTATTCTGCAAAGAAACCAACAATATCTCGTGGTGTCCTCAGAGCTTTAGATATAATGAAAGGTTCGACAGGTTAGCTGTATTGTTTTCACGACAGGTGGTCACTGGTTGACTGCTGGCGTATGTTGTCTTTCTTTGTATTTTCTATAGTATATATATCTGATCTGTTTCTAACGCAGGAACGGGATACGCAGGTTTGCTGTTAAAACAATGCACTTTTTTTTGTTACGTCCACGTTTTATCTAAAGACATTACAATGACGGAAGGCACTGAACTGCAGCATGACCTCTCACGTTACACAGCTTTATACTACTTAGTAATACGTTTATAGCATTTAAATTTTAATATTTTCATATCGATTATGACGATATTCTTGTCAACAATAATCTACAAATGTTAGAATCATTTAAAAAAAATAAAAATGAAGGACTTCACTGACTCACTGTCACCATAAAAATAAAAAAGGACTTCACTGACTCACTGTCACCACTTTCCTCAGGGGGATTTCTTGACGGCACAGCAGCTGAGGACCGTTACTGCCCAGTAAGCGACATACAGCAGTGTCTATTCGCCATTATTGTTCTAATATTATGGCGCATTTACTTTCACGGTTCACAACATGACTATGTTAAATCCTCGATACCCTGTTTTCTTTCTTACAGAGTTGGAGTGAAGGAGAAATGGGTGCCCGTTACCAGATGTGTTCAAACCCTAGACGAGTCACGCGACACTTCCGGCGTCCGCTGTCAAACCCAGCACAATAAAACTGAGAATTCTTGATTTTCCTTTCAAAATAAAACTGCATTACAGACTATAATCGTTCAATATTGGCGAGATTGTAATAATAGCACATTTAAAAGAATTGTATTATTAAGATAAGATTTTTTTCATTACAGGTGAAAAGTCAGTCAAACACGTGAGTACAAGTAGAAGACCTCCATTTTGACAGTCTGTTCTACCCACAATTCTACTTCTCCTTTCCTTTGGAGCAACAGCGTCAATTAGCGGCAACAACGGAGAATAGCATTTCGACAAGGACGTGAACAAATATGTATCTAAATGTCAGATTTATACTACATACAAACACTGTGAGGATAAACTAGTACATTACATTTTGAAATAGTGAATATTTTATATTTACAATACTCACCTTTCCGAATGACCGTCAGCTTCACCAAAGCAACAGTCACAATGTTGTAAACAATTGACATTCCATTCCATAGCTTCCTCAGTCTCGACTGTCACACGGTATATATGTATATATATATATATACTATCTATCTATATATATACATATATACTGTTTGTATATGGAGATAGACAGCATTATTTTATTACTTTGTTATTTTTAGGATACCTGTTAATATATGGCGAGAGACAGGATTGTTTTATTACTTTGTTATTTTTAGGATACTGTTAAATTATTTTCATAGTGGGGGTGCATCTAAGTCGGTTTTTGGAATTGTTGGAAATTAAGACCACTAGAGGGCACTATGCTGCAACATCTTAAACACTGAGGGGCATCCGTAACCACCATTGCAGTCCATTTTCTTTTGTAAAACTTAACCTCAAAATTAACATAAAAGCCCCAATGGATGTTATTTATTATTATAAAATCTGGCTTTAATTGTCGCAACAGAATGTGAGCAGAGTAAATATCGAATAACTAATTTTGCCAGGACCAATGCACTGAACCTCTGACGTCACTGGATTGCGTGTAGGCAGCACCCCCCGTTTTCTAAGACCCACGCTTACGCTCGTTTTTTTTTTTCACTGCTTACGTCTGCAGGATTTATCTTGTATGACGTTAGTCATTTAGAAAGTTATAACATTTAGTAAAACAATGTGTTTGTTTCATAGTGATTTGTTTTGTATAATTTACCAAAAATAAATTAGTTGTGAGTTAAATACAGGAATGTTGGTGACAGCATACTGCTAAATATTACAACATTTAAACCCTGCAAACCAGAAGTACAGCACAGAGAGGGTGAAGTACAGCTAAAATGTCACTTTGTCTTGTCTGGACTTGTTCCATTTAAGTGCACAGAAAAAAAGTCCTACAGTAGCGTCGCTTTTACTAATACATGACTGGATGTAATGAATATTTGAATGTTAATGCTCCACAGGACAGTTTGCTTTCCCTCACCCTGGATAATTTAAAGTAAATGTTTGCGACACACAATCTCCAGGGCTGTGAGTGATTAAGGAGGCCGTGGGGGTTTCCGATGCAAAGGGCAAGGGCTTTGAAGGAAACAAGCAATGCCCCCGCTGTTTATAATATTTAATTTCTAACACCCTCAACTTTAATGGGAAACTGGCCTTTTGCTATCTCTCGTTTGTGAGTCCAGTGTGTACAGGAATGAGAAATGGAAGGTCAGTACGCCACAGAAAAGTCAAAAGTCAGAAGTGAAAATATGGACGACTAACAGCAAAGTTTCACTGCGTTTTTTTTGTGTTTGTTTTTAATTTTTTGTGTGAAAAGAAATCAGTGCTGTCTCCTTAGTTTGTTCAACACTTTAGATTTACAGTTTTTCTGTCTTTAAATGTTCTTAGTCGGCTACTGCTTTATTCTGTTTTATCTTAAGGGTGTATTTATCTTTAATTCATAAGAAAATATTTGTACCTTTCTGTATGGAAGTGTCCCCGCATAGCCACTAAAAATAGTTACTAAAAACACTCCTATTATTTGGTGACACTTTGTGTTCTCATGGGGACAGAAATATATTATTGTTATATGGTAAATTCAGCATCTAATTAGGAGTTAGGATTAAATATAGGGACAGATTAGAGATTATGATCAGGCACATATTTGTAATAGTTAAAGTCAGTGCTTACAAAACACAGAAACTACTGCGGTGTGTGTGTGTGTGTGTGTTTGTGCACATGGTGATGCGAGAGATAACAATGAAGAGGTACAGAGAGAAGACGGCCTTACTCCTTATCTGCTGCTTTGTTCTGATGACACGATTACAATAATGGTTCCGGCCTCTAATCAGACCAAAGCAGGAGATGCTTTATGGGTTTTGTGTGCCTAATTATTTGTTGTAAGATTCGGAGCTGGTACTCAGTTTGTCATGTCCATCAGATTTGTTCAGGCGACAGGCCAGTGGTCCGGTCTGTGGCCCATTCTTAGCACAGTAATTTATTATGTTGTAGTTATTTATATTTTTTTTAATTGCTGTTATAACCTTCCATTAATATGGGATTAGTCAATCGTTGATATACAATGGATGCATTGTAATAATAAGTTGCTTTCTATTTAAACACAACACTACAAATAAAACAGAAATTAACAAAATAATACTAAATCAATAGTTTTGTTTCAGTTATGTGAAGTCCATTATCCTCTTATATATTAATATTAATTATTATAATTCTTATTACTGAAGATATTGGCAGATTTCAATACTGGGAAAAATAGATTTTTATTTGGCAGGTTTTGAAAATCTTAAACACTAATGTGAAACGATGAACCTCCCAAAAAGTGTCAACTTTTCAATTTTTTTTTGCCTCTGCTCTAATGCATTGAATTGTGTTGCACACAGTTTTGAAGATGATTCAAGCACAAATTTGGTTAATAAAAAAAATAATTCTGTGTCTCATGGATATCCATCATATTAATTCTTTACAATACTTTCTTTTTTCACATTTTAGTGGACGTTTCATTGTTTTTCCTTCTTTCACGGCTAACACTGCCTTGCTCAAAGGCACACAGAGCGTTGTTATTGTGATTGAGGAAGGCACTGTGCATTCCTCATTACCAGACCAGCGAACGATAATGTGTAAATAAAACGTCGCAGCTTGTCTGGTTTCCTGCTCTGTTTACAGCAGGTGATCCTCCAGCTGAGGACTGAATTCCCCAAACATCTGAGGAAATTCTGGTGGGATGTAGGTCTAATGGAGTGAGTCAACCCACAGGCAGTGCAATGTACACAAAACACACTGTTCTGGTGCTTTCTACTTTACGATGTCGGCAACTGAAAACTGCCTTCACCTGTTATTTCCCAGGTTGCTCTTCTACCCCACTCCACAGCCACTCAAGGTTAACCACAGGTCAACCATAAGACAAAGGTGTGAGTTCCAAAAACATCTGTAAGAGAAAAATATTCTCCACCCAACAACTGTCAGTCAAACCAGGATTCTGGACCAGAGCAGATTTAGCCACAGCTGTGCAGCGTGTACTGTACAGATAACACGGGAGAAGTCAATCTCTGGACAGTCACGACCTGCGTGACGTGATGTCATCCGATCTGTGACAAGAGGCGGAGGGATGCATCACGTCTCCCCTGGTGTGCAGAATTTAAACCAAAAAAAAGCAAAGCCATTCCAACATTAATGGTTTCTCAAGCGGTTGCTTAACATAATTCTCTTTATTGTGTATCGTGTCTGTAGGAGGTATCACTGGGGTTCAACGTGGGGCTGTGGGTGTGTTGGAGGTACGCCTTTGCTCTTTATAGCCCTGGTGGCCGTGGTCCATGGGGAAAAAAAAAGAAAAAAAAAAAGAAAAAAATGGCCGTCCATTACAGCAGGCTCTATTAGGTTAATGACTTTAGCAGCTTTATGGCCACCAGCTCATTACTTAGACAGACCAATCTAATCAGCAGCAGCACTGGAGCCCACCGCCAGAGAAAACTGGTCTGTGGGTAAAAAGAGATCCCGGGAGCTACGGCAGTTTTAATACTCGTGAGTGTACACACTGACCACAGCACACGTTTACACTGAGTTCACTGCTGACCACACGGTATCAGGAATAAGGTGTGTCATTTTCTCTCTTTGTATATAAGGTCACTATGTATTTTTTTTTTTTACCATATCGACACATGAGTCTGAGTAAATATAAAGCTCTTTATGGGTCACAGTTATAGATGAGTCATTCACCTGGTAACGGATGAAAAAGGATGGATGGAAAAGCTCACAATAAAAAAACTTAAATCACGCCATATATTTCTAATCATATTTATTTAATTCATACCTGCATTAATTGTCTTAATTAATTAATGTCTCTATGTAGGTTCTCAGTCATCCAGGTCATAGGTCGTATTCACACCGTCCTCATTTATACATTAATATTCATTATTAACTCCCAAACATCTGTGTGAAGTTGAAGACAAACGATTGAGAGGTAAAGACTCCAGAGGACGTTTGTTTTTACAGTCATTTTTCCTTTTCAGACCATTTTCAGCTCTAAGAGCTTAAGCCCTTGGTGCAGTTCACCAAAATGAAGTTGAATTTATGTGTGTGTGTGTGAGAGAGAGCGAGAGAGAGAGAGATGATGAAGCGTCCAGGGAACACTAGTAGATAACAGACTGTTTCTGTTTCTCCGCTCCGATGAACACCAATCATTTGCTCTCTTAGATAAAGCTCCAGGCAGCGAAGGCAGACGTCTGAGTGTGCTTTTTTTGTTATAAGCTGGGATGTATGACAATGAGCCGTTTACCGTGTGGAAAGTTTGGTATTAAATAATCCTGCAGCTCTGCTGCCGAGTTACCTCTCTCTCTCTCTCTCTCTCTTTGATTTCTAGCGACTCTCAGCTGAGAGAACAAACCGGCGGATCGCACATTTCTAAGTCCCTGATGCTTTGGCCTAGTGCCAACATCCAGATTTCTTAGCTAATGGTCCTGACCTCTATTAGTGCCCCTTTCCATCAAAGACTCACCTCTTGCATCCTCCTCCATAAAACGCTCTCCCGCGGTTCCGCTCCTGGCCTTTCAAATTTACGGTTTCCTTTCAACTGTCCTCCCGTTCCTCCACAAAGGAACAGAAGCCTGTCGCCCTCACAGCGGCCTTAAGAGTGGATGAAATTCAGCTGGATCTGCTGCCCCTGTGATAAGTGATAAACAACAGGCTGACATGTCAGGTGAGAAACGTATAAATGCACAGGCGTTACATAGGCTAATGAAGAGGCTCTCAGATCAAAACAGAGGGAACGTCCATGTCATGATGGTGGGAGTCAGAGCGCCATTATTGTTATTGTTATTATAATTGGTAA